AATCCAAATAATTTAGGGGATAGTTTTCTCTACAGATGCATGCTTTAGGTTATAGCTTTCCCTATGGATGTATTCTTTAGGTGATAGCTTTCCCTATGCATGTATTCTTTAGGTGATAGCTTTCCCTATGGATGTATTCTTTAGGTGATAGCTTTCCCTATGGATGTATTCTTTAGGTGATAGCTTTCCCTATGGATGCATGTTTTAGGGGATGGATTTCCCTTTGGATGCATGTTTTATGGGATGGATTTCCCTTTGGATGCATGCTATCATGAGTTCGTTTCGTTTGTACAGTATTTTGGTGGTGTTGGTGTGTTTGAGGATGGATCGTTTGTCTAATAAATAAAGATTACATTAATCGCATCGTCTGGTAAACGGTTTTATTTATTATTTCTGCCTGACGAGTTGGGAAACCATAAAACTCTCTTGCACGATAAGTGTAGGTATATGTGCATTATATATATATATATATATATGTGTGTGTGTGTGTGTTCGCGCGCGCGTGCACGTGTATAAACTGACACAAATGTGGATTAAATATTGCAGAATAATTAAATAAAGAACGAATAGAAAAAAACGTTTATAAAATTAATATTTTGAGATTATTTGTCATCAGAATAAAGTTGAGAAAATGTATTTTTGAATTATAGGTTGTTCCTTTTCATTGGTCATCTATATCTCAAGAGTTTAGGTCACTTGGTGATAATATGTGTCTGTGTTTTTTGTGTGTGCGTAGGTGAATTAGACACATATACATACAATGCCAGACTGACACAAAAACGAGCACGAAAAAATTTGGACAGACACACATGCGAACGCTGCAAGCAGTAAACACGAATTCGAATATTCTATTCCTTATTTAATTTCCCAAGTATTCAGATTAAGCTAAAATATAATTAAAACAGGCTTAATTTATTAGCGTTCTCCATTTTTCTTAAATACATACATACATTCTTACACACACACAAACACACACATATATGAACAAAATGAAAATCTGTGTTTATTCATAGTTTTTTGATATCCTCTTTCAAAAATCTTACACACTCATGCACACACATACAAACACACGCGTGTGTCCACACACACACGCGCGGATACACACATGTAAAACAGAACATGAACTTAGGACAGTTTTATTCCCAATTTTGATTTGGATATACTTTTATGGTTTTTTTATCATTTTGATGTATCGTCGAGGTGAATGATACACAAAGAATGAGTGCTTAATATATTTATTCAGCACCAGTATCCTGTGCTAACGGATACATACAAAAAAAAAACACAGAACAATAACTTACAAAACAATTAACAAGACAACTTACAAGGAATGAACGAGGGTCAAATGCTGTGTAGCCAAACGAAGTAAGATCAGTCCGAATATTAATCAACTGTTGAAGTCCTTAATCGTAGACTATTTAAGGCTATGAGCCTGTCCATCTGGTAGAATGCTGAAGCGATGCTAGCTACTCTACAATACATTTCATTCTAAGCAAAGTGATAATGTCACTAAGACATTTGTGTTACTTGGTGTGAAAGAGAATGAGAAGAATTTAGAAGGTCCTGGGAACGAAATCCTCTACCAAAAAATGTTATAAGCATCTACTTCTGTTCCATAAAAGGGGAATAAGTACCAACAGATGACACACGAACCTATCGACATAAGTTATTCTAAAATTGGAAATATAGAATAAACAATTAAACAGACCGATCTAGTAGGTAAAATTAAGCAATAATTATTTGAATAAATTTTGCTCCATAATTATATCGTAGATACATAAGCATAAACAGTCTGGGAAGTATTCTTCCTGTTGCAATATTTATTTTCTTTACATTTACTTACTTACCTTTGGCAAAGTCATAAATCCACTTCTTCTGAATTTCATTATCATTAATATCATATACTTGTAAAAGACATTTAATGATAATTGAAGCAGTTTATTCAAAGCGGTTTCCGCCAAACGACTACGGGTTAATTAGCAGGACTTGTGTCTGTAAAATCATTATTACACGAGCAATTCTTATAATTAAATATATTTTCTGGCTTAAAAAACACAGAGAAGATTTATAAGCCGTAAAAAAACAAATCAATTCATTCTATAGATTCGCAAATACTAATATTGCGTCATACAGTAGAAGATATAATAGTAAAAATTTAATGAGAATTGAAGATTTAGGAAAGGCTTTGTGTCAAGAAACGGAATTAAATGCAAGGAAATATATTAGGCTCGTGTTATAACAATGAAAAAGCTTCGGCTTACAATGCGCTATACACAGATTGTGTGGAATGAAAACAAAAACCAGAGGGAAATCGACTTTTTTTTTTTAAATGTCATCTGTTGTCTTAAAGAGAGTTTGGTTTTCAATTTCTATTCAATACTGCCTATTCATCAATAAGAATTATATACAAATATGAGAAAAGTTATGAGAAGATATGAAAACAACCAGTCGATACCGCGAAATCATCACATAGACATAAATATTGCAAACGATCTTGTTCATGTGTCGAACACTTTCGAACAAAACTTGTTATTTTTTCTCAAATAGGAATCTGCTGCAGCTTAAGTTTGACTTTATATAGACAAAAGAAAAGCAGAATTCATGGCTTTTAATCTCGCAGAAGATTTTATAACATTCGTCGGTGACAGCCTGATTCAAGTGGATGGTATTTATTGTCAACTACTATGATTATATCCCTCACTAAAATATGAAAGTATTAAAGATGAAAAAAACACAGGAATTAAGAATGAAATAAAAGAGTTAAAACGCAATTCTTTAGATGAACAGCAGAAACAGTCTTTTGAATAGTGTCGCACTAGTAGCACTACCGTTGAAAAACTATGTTTATTTTATATTTACTTACTAAATGAAATAATCTTTCCTGATATAACAATATAGTATCAAGAAATTTGCTTGGTTAAATTATTATTAAAATCGCATGCTAATTTATTCTGGTTACTATTTTACAAGTGTATTTTTTTCTCCTAATTGCAGCTTGAATTTTGTGAAACCCTATACATGTCAAATAGTCGGGTATAACCAAAATCACTCACGAAAAATAAATAGATGGTACGTACCCCCAACTATGGAAGGTAGCACTAAGTATTACCATGGATAGTTAAACACAATTAGAACGGTACTTTGGTGTTGTGTGATTCAGGTATAGAACGAAATAAAGAATAACATTTGCAGTTTTCTCACCACACGAAAGTCATTCTCTATTATGGTTATGGTACAGTGATATTTTCATCTAATTGACCTGATATTCCTGTTAGAATGGATGGAAATATAAAGGAAGAACAGTATAGTATTCATTCAAACTAACATATCGAATAAGTTCTGTAAATAAGGATCTGCAATAACAGTGGCATTTTCAAAAGGAAATTGGTCGAATTCACAATACAAATTTCATTAAGTTCAATCTTTTCATTTTGATAGAAACAATTTTTAATATACTTTAATTAGTTCAGACCTTTATACTCATCTTGATTATTAGCGATGCCACTATAGACACAAGGTTTCAGTCAACTATAAATTGGGTTTCATCAGTAGTACTTTGTTTTTGCTTATATGAGTTCATTATTGTGCTATCATTGCTCTTGTGGTATAAGTTATATTTTGTTTCTAAGAAAAAGTGCTTCGCTGCCAGATTCAGAGATTGAAGTCACGACGACTACAGGGCAATAACAAATACTTAACCAGCATCTATATCGACTACGCTACCTGCATAATAATTAACAAGTTGTACATACTGTACAATAGACACCAGGACCAGTAAAAATATAAGAGAATGTTAAAGAAAGAAAATAATGATGATGAGCAGAGGGTACTTGATCGAAATGTTTTATAACGTAAACCTGTTTTTATAGAATAAACCTATAATAATCAAGATAAAACAATTGTTCTAAATGATTAATGTAAAATAATGTATTTTGTGCTGCTGAGAAAAATTTAGAACTTTTGTAAGACTAGTAATGGCGAAAAAGTCAGTCAGACTTAAGTATCTTAAGACATTAACAAAAGTTAATTGAGTCAAAATCACTGTTGAATCTCCTCCGAACGTGTTGACAAAAATTCAAGAATCATTTACAAGCTGTAATAATGAAGATTTTTCCAGCGATTATTAAGGTATAGGCATAGATCATTTTAAACCAGTATTCAGTGTTCAACGTTGTAAATAACATATCCGTTATATACAGTTTTTCTACGTATGAATCAGGAAAAGTTTCATTCATTCTTCTTTCGTTATATGTCAGTTTGGGTTAGGAAAATCTGCTTGAAAAGTTAAATATTTTGCAAGGGTATCAATAATTTTTTTGCTCAACTGTACCTCCCCTCCCACCATTCACACATCGCGCGGGTGTTTATGTGCTGTACGCATCTCACTGTGTGCATCGTTACTTAGGAATACGTGCTAATGCGTCCAGTGAAAAGTAGAGAAATATAAAGGGGACATATTTTAATGGAAGCTGAAATTGAAATCAAATCTATCCCAATAAAATGGTATGGATTTTGACATTAAATAGAGATGTGGCATTAACTGTAAAACGAATGAAAACGGAAAGAAGAAGATATACTGCAAAAAGAAAGAAATATAAAAGGACACTATGTGAAAATGAAGGGATGTAGAAATGGCGAAAAAGATAGATGAAAAAACAAAAAAGCCAAAAGTTATTAGGAGACGAGAACAAATATGGAGACAATGAGACAGATAAATAGAAAAGAGAGTTAATGCGTTTCATAGAGAGAAGAGACAGAAAGATAGAGAGGAGAAAAGATAGTAATGTCAGAAAGAGAGGAAAAGGAAAAAAGAGTGAAAAGTAACTAATGATTAACAGATGAGGAGAAAAAAAGAAAGCAAAAAAGAGAAGAAGAAGAATATTAAAAAAAAAAACAGTAAAAAATATAAGAGGGTGATCGCTATTGAAAATAAAAAATCGAGAGAAAGTAAAAAGAAAAAAAAGAAAGAAAAAGCGAAATAAAAAAATAAAGAAAAATATTTAAAAACCAGTAAAAATATAAGAGAATGTTAAAGAAAGAAAGAAAGAAAGAAAGAAAGAAAGAAAGAAAGAAAGAAAGAAAGAAAGAAAGTAAAATGAAGAGAATACTAAAAAAAGGAGAGTGGAAGCTTTAAGAAAGAAAGAAAGAAAGAAAGAAAGAAAGAAAGAAAGAAAGAAAGAAAGAAAGAAAAGAACGCGAGGAAAAAAGAAAGACAGAAAAAAAAGAAAGAAAATATTTAGAGAAAGAGTAAGAAAGTAAGAGATGGATACAGGAATGAAATAATTATCGACAGAAAGAATGAAAGAAAGGGAAACAGAAAGAAAGAATAAAAGAAATAAAGGCTAAGTAAAAGATATTGATAAATAGGTAAATAGGGAGAGAAAACATAATGACAGAATGAAATATATTTAGAAATTAATAAACCAATAAATAAAAGTAAAAATATATAGGAAAAAAAGCAAGACAAAAGAAAGAAAAAAGAGAATAAATATCGATTAAAAGACACGAAAAAAGAAAGACAGAAACAAAATAACAAAGAAAGAAATTAAGAACAGGATGTTACAAGATGAAGAGAAAGATTCAGCGAGAAACAAAAATGAGAGAGAGAGAGAGAGAGAGAGAGAGAGAGAGAGAGAAAATGAGTTCGAGCGATATTAGGAATATATTGGAAATGTGCAAGCAATAACCCTTCCGGCAATGCATGTGTTCGAACAATTACCTTCCTGCACACACAGTTGGTGTTTCAGCTGTTGCAAAATAAAACATGAACACATCTATAAAACTATGTTTGCTCTTTCGCACGCATATACACACGTTCACACAATCACATGTGCACAATAGCATGCATACACAAAATTGATAAATATATATATATATATATATATATATATATATATATATATATATATATATATATCTACTCTCTCTCTCTCTATAAATATATATATATATATATATATATATATATATATATATATACACACACACACATATATATATATATATATATATATATATTCACACACACATATGGATGTGTTGACAAATATAATTTTACACGCATAGATTTTCAATCTATACGTAAATAATATACTCATATAAGTATGTACGTATATGTTTACATTTATTAAGCAAATTTAATTGCACACATACAAAGGTATGCAGAATCCCATCCTATGGCCTTATCACGTCGATAAATCGGTTCTCGGAAGAACACAATAATTAAGCAACGTCGAATTTTATCAGTACCTAAATGGTTAACCGCTTAGTTCTACAACGCGGATGTGTGCGTGGTGTAATGGATAACGTCTTGGAATAGAAAATCGCGGTTCCGATTTCCAATTCCAGTCTGATTTTTTTTATATTCATTTACGTGCAAATACCTTTATACCCACCTTTTCTCCTCAATCTCAATATCATTAATACTTTTTATAGTAAAAGACGTTTAAAGATAATGGGAGAATTATACTCACAGCTGTTTATGCCAAACTGCAATCTAACCGTTTCTGAAACCAGATAAAACGCGTTGATTTTTTTTTAAGTAAACCCAAGGTTGAATTATGAATACTCTCAACCAACATGTTTTAGAATTACTGCTAATTCTACGCGATACAACATACAAAAACACAGAATAAATATACTAATCTTTGACAATTACTAATAGATTAGTTCAAAAGCGCTCGGGACCATGACGACTAAAACAATTTCTACAACTTCTTTAGTCATCATAAAAATCGAACTGTAAGAATATAAATATATTAAAAAAAAAACGTATAAAATTTTCCCTTAACTGTCATCATCCAATATATATATATATATATATATATATATATATATATATATATATATATATATATATATATATAAAATGTTAAACGCTAATATTCCATGGTCATAATTTATTCCATTGGAATCGTAAATACGATCCAATTCATCAGACCTACAAATTCAAAAAAGAAAAAAACAACTCCGGAAACAAAAACAAAATTTAGAGAGAGTGTAAGTATGAAAATGTGGGACGAATGTTAGAGCTAAAGAGAGGGGTAACAGACGAGAGAAGGATGGAGATTAAACCTGTGTATGCACCTATATATATATATATATATTGCATATGTATATGTATATTTACCACTAATATTGTCTATATATATATATATATATATATATATATATATATCAAAGTGTAGGAGAGCGAACAGTAAGATTACAGCGTTCAAAACATTAATTTAAAAACAGTGCTCAATACACAAGGTAGAGCTGTAAATTTTGCATTCTAACGAAATTCTATGGCCAGATTTTATCTCCTTTCTCCTCTTCGCATGGCCTCTTTCTTTCTTTTCTCTTCCCTTTTTTTCTTTTTCCCTTCCTTTTCGTTCGCCCACGACTACTTAATGCATTAAATTCCCTTACATCTCTACATATAGATTCTAGAAGACATTTTATGAAAATTTCCAAAGAACGGAAGTGGGGGATATCTGCTTCGATAACTGCATTTCTGAATAAAAGATTTTTAGTAACATCGTGATTTCCCACCTGATGAGACGTCTAAAAAGTTTTTCCCTTTTTGATGTTGAAACATGCACAATTTTGTAGTGGATATGTGCATGTTCTAATGTCACTCTGCATAATATATATATATATATATATATATATATATATATATATATATATATACCCATACGACGTAGGTCAATTCAGTCAGTTATGTGCCATGCGTGATACACGTATAGGCGATCATGTATCTTTCGATACATGTCTGACGAGGCAGATTTTTTCCCCGCAGTAGATTGTCATTTTTTTTCCTTCGGTAGACCAGTTGCAATGCAAGGCTATAGAAACCGGTCTATCCTGTTATTTGGGGAGAAGAAGTGGAATCATACCTTTCCCAAGGGTATGATTCCCCTTCTATCTATATATTAGAATGTAAGTGAATGTAATGGATTCGACTGGAATTCGAACTCGGCTCTCCGATTCCTCAATCTGAGCCGATATACCTTACTACAACTATGGCTAGATCTCATTTAAATACACAAAAAACATTCCAAACTCCATATTAATAGAAAGTACACATTAGCTTCATGTAAGGGTAAATATTTTAAAATATAATTGAAACACTGATAATGAAAAAATAAAACCAACACTCAATAACATAAACAATGAAGAATCCCTTAATATATTAACCGTGTTTAAAGAATAAAACATTTCCTATAACTCTAGAGACATACATAAAATTAATACAATCTGGCAAAAATTGAATATAAAATCCTCCTTGATAATGGCTAAAAGAATAGCCGAAAGCGCTCGTATATACAGAACATTTGGACAGCTTTTACACACTTTGTGCCTAGAAAAGAAAACATTTTTACGAACTAAAAATTATATAAAAATGCTAATCGACGTATCTTGTCACACATCTTTAACGAAACTATATATATATGTGTGTGTGTATATGTGTGTATGTATGTTTTTGTGTGGGTGTATGTATATATATATATATATATATATATATATACGTATACATATGTATGCATACAGTCACACACACACACATACATACATATATATATATACGTATAGATATGTATGCATACACACACACATATACATATATATACGTATAGATGTGTATGCATACACACTCACACGCACACACACATATATATATATATATATGTATGTATGTATATATATATATATATATATATATATATATATATATATAGTGTGTGTGTGCGTGTGCACATATATAAATTCACACAGACGCTCACATATATATAGATATGTGCAATCTCATTTGTCGACACACATGTCTTATATCGCTATGTTTACCGATAAGTAAAATTTCTCCCATACACATGTACACGTTTTCAGTCGAAGATATTTTCACTGACACACATGATGCCATTTCAAGTGATTTCAATTCTCTGTATCATTTATAAGATCCACAGTGAGAAAGCTTGCTGTTTATGCCAGAAGGCTGTAGGCTTCACGATGGAAATATTACTTCTTGGCTGAAACTCACGTAAACATTTTCTCACAAAAAAAGTTTTTTTTTCTTCAATTCAGTCTACTCATAGATTCCAATTTGTAGCCATTATTGCTTCCATTTCATAGCAACGTGGAATCATTGCAAGCATTCTCAAGAAGCCACCATTCGCAATCGCAGAAATATATTAAGCAAATACATAAATATATTTATGCATACAGATGCTCAAAGCCGAACCCAAAAAGTAATAGAACGATGTGTATATGAACCACTATGATGTTTCAGTTTGTAATTCACAATGGAATCCCCACCTGTTTATAATGAAAATCAATAACATCGTTAATGCACTTATAGATTAATCGATAATTGTATAGGTATACGTAAAATATCAGCGAACATTAACAAAATGGGTGTGTATTCTTCTGTCCTTTGCGATGTCCCTTCAGGATATGGGCGATCATGGTTTTCCATACTTCCCTCTGAAAAATTAATGTTTGCCCTCTAATTATCTGTTAAATCCTCTGCTTCCAATTTACAAAAAGTCAATAGACATGTTCCACGCTATTTCTCCATGTCCTAGTTGCTTTCAGTACGTCCTGCAAGTGTCAAATTCACCACGTGATCTTTCCTTAATATGTGTTCTAAAAATCTGAATCTTTCTGAATACAGGTGTTTTTTGGCATCTATTATCAATAAAACTCCCTTGTAAATCACATGATCAGTCTATGGTATTCTAAGCTTTCTTACTTAGAACCAGATTTATGTTGACACATGTTTCCTATTAATCTGTGAGGATATTTTTCAGCACCCATTGTCATATAGAAGGAATAATATTACGTAACAGTTCAGTAATATTAGGTTGGTGCAAAAATAATAACGTAATAATGTCGTTTTTTGACGTTAAAAAATACGTCAAAAAACGACATTATTACGTCATTATTTTTGCACAACCTAATATTTGATTTGTTCTTAACGAAACTTTCGTGTTTCTTTATATGTTGTTTAGCATTTGGAAGATGTATTTCGCAATTCTATTAGGTTGGTGCAAAAATAATGACGTAATAATGTCGTTCTTTGACGTATTTTTTAACGTCAAAAACGATATTATTACGCCATTATTTTTGCACCAATCTAATATTAAGTCTATAGATTTTGGTTACACATTTTTCCAGATATTAAAACACTTCACAGATATTTAAATTTTCGTATTTGTTTTATTATGGTCTGTCAAATTCATTTTTTTTGCATTTTGAGCTGTTATTTTTATAATTACACCTATATATTCTGTCAGATTGCAATCTATAGTTAGTCTTTTCTCCCCACTTTCCGTCACTACCCTGTCTTGAAATCCCTCATGTTTCCTATCTGTCTGTTATCTATACTGTTTAATATGAATATCTTATCCCGCTAACATTGTGTCCGCCAATTAGAACTTCTGGTTAGTCTACAATATCTCTCAGTATTTCACCTCTCGTAAGTAAATCATATAATTTCTCCAAATTGTATTGCGATTGTTCTTGTCTGAGTAGAATTTACATTTTTGTTTGAGATTTATGAGACCATATTTTTATTTTAGTTTTGTTAAACGTTCCTTTTTTAGATCATGTATTACTCCCGCACAATTTTCCATTTCTAAATAAGAGTTTTATTACATTCCAATAACTGTTATTTATCTGAAAAAATAAAATACCTTCTAGAAAGGAAGCGTGCCACTCCC